CGGGCAGTGCGGGCCAGGGGCCAGACGCCAGGGTACCTGGCGTCTGCTTCGTAACCCAGACGCCATGGACCTTGGCGTCATCGAAAAAGGTCAGAAACGAAAAAAAATTTAAAACGAAGTCAAATCGGAATTTTCTTTGCACAATGGGTCAGAACACTAATTTTGTCCTCCCAACCCAACCCCGGCCATGATCCCCACTGGGGCTGGGGCTCGTCAGCTGGGCCGAGGGAGGCGTGGTGGTGGTGCGCGCCTGTGGCTGGCCGGTGGCCGGCCTGCGGTGCGGGCACGTACGTCGTCCGTCGCTGCGTGCGACGTGGGAGGCGTGGCGCAGTGGCTCGATTACGCACGCGCCAGCGTGCGTGCCTACCTACGTACGTACGTACTGGCGCTGCCTGCTCTCGCTGATGGGAGGTGCCAGCAATGAGCTCCGGGAAAGAGGCCAGGCCACCGGGCGGAGCGGCACACGGGAACAAACGGCGGCATTGCACGGCGGCCCCGTCCGGTCCCGTCGTCCGTCACACCACGTCCGTGTGCTCTGCTCTGCTTGACCGCTGAGTTTGCCAGTGGCATTGCGCGTCGATGGGACAAGGATTGGGATTGATGTGCGGATGTCTGCGTCCATGGACTTTTTGGCGGTGCGGTGCGGTGCGCGGCGACACCCAGCGGCCCAGACATAGGGTACTGGGATGAACTAGGGTCGGAAACCATTATTGAAATAGCTATCTCACATCTAAGTCTAGAGTTATTGGATTCTGTTCTGTCTTTAGGATTCGTGCACACATTTTTTTTCTGCCCCCGCCTCCTGCGTTCGCCCGTTTCTTCGTACGAGCCTGATTCGTATCGATGTGCTCGTTGTTGTTTGTTTTTCCTTGGTTGATTATGTGCGCACGGCCGGGCATTTTTTGTTTTTGTTGGCCTGTTATGCACACACAGCTTTGGGCTGTTATACGCATGTCCTTTTGCCAGGCATTAATAGGAAGGCACAGCGATTTCATTCTTTCATGATTAAATGTATTGTTTTTCCTGCCTAAGATGTGTTGTTTTCCATGGTGGGGTGCAGGGTAGAAATGCACGAGTCGCTTCTGCTGTTTTTTTTTCACTTTTACGTTTTATTTTTTGTTTATTTGTGTTAAAGTTATGAACTTTTTAAAATTTAAATGCTTGTAAATTCATGATTTTTAAAAATAATTATGATAATTTTGTTTCTAATTTTATTTTTTTTGTTGCTTTTCTCGGTATTCATTGTTTTAATTTCTTTTGCTTTTTCTTTGTTTCCTTTGTTTTTCTTTATTATGTTCTTTCTTGGTTTTCTTCATTTTTTGTTTCTTTCTTGGGTTTTCCTTCTTTAATTTTTGCATTGGTTACCTTTTGTTTTTTGGTTTGAATTGTTTCATTCTTGACTTTTGTGTTTTTTTCTTAGTTATCATTGTCTTCATTTTTTTCATAGGCTTTGGGTTTTCTATTTCTTTTTTCTATTTTGGTGGTTTCTGCATTTTTCTTTGTTTCTTTGTCGATCTTACTCGGTTTTTTTAGCACATGTCAACTTATTTCAATATACACTCAATATTTTTGAATGCACCAGAAACATATTTATATCCATGATTAGCATTTTTTTGTCTTTGTTTATTTATTTGTTTCAAGTTCATGAACCTTTTTTCAACACATTTAGCAATGTCTCATCTAGGTTTCTGATCGCTCGACCTGTTCGCTTTTAAAATGTTTGTGCAAATCTTGATCATGGATTATTTTTCATGCGCGTCTTATACTTTCATGTCTCGTGTACGTCCAGTGTCCACTTGTCATCCCGTTCACGTGTGTGTCTTTTGTTGGGCCGACTTCGTGATGCAATCTCGAGACCCGTTTTTCTTTTTGGCGTGCATTTTATAAGTTGAAGACATGAGTTGGTCACTGCTTCCTCAGTTCCATCATCATTCTCTCCCTCCCATCCCCATTTGTCTTGGAGTAGAGCCGATGCGAGTAGGAAGGAGGAAGACGACTAAGGGGTTCAATCTTTATCCACACGATGAAAGAAGATGGCAATCAATGATGACTGTGATGTGACCTTGGATACTTTTTTTTTGCCTTTTTGCATTGTGTTTTCATCTAGGGATTTTGTGATTTTTGTGATTTTCATTCATAGACTTCTTTTCCTAGGTGCAACTCCATCCTAACATGCAACTGGTCTGCCTTTTGTGTTTCACTTGACAAACAACTATCTTGCAAGTCCGCCCTTGAATCGCAATCTTCATTTGTGGGGGCGGAGGGTAATCATTTTTGTCCCAGTTGCAACTCCATCCTCAACATGCAACCGGGTCCACGTTTTTCCTAGTTGCAACTGGGCATGTGTTTTGTTTTCCATCCCAGTTGTAAGCGCATGCTCGACTCACAACTAGGCTTCTCGTTTGTCATTGTCCCAGTTGCAAGTTCACTCCCGACTCACAGATGGTATCGTAGTTTTGTGTAGTTGTCATGGTTGCAAGTCCATCCTTCATTTGCAACAAGGCTCGTAGTTTGTTTCATCCTAGTTGCAAGTACACCATTGACTCGCAACTCGGCTTGTAGTTCCATAGTTGTCCCAGTTGCAAGTCCACCCTCGACTGGCAACTAGACCCATAGTTTTGCTGTTGTCGTCTCAGTTGCGGGTCCACCTTCGACTTGTAACTCGTCTCGTAGTTTTGTGTAGTTGTCACAGTTGCAAATTCACTGTTGACTCACACCTAGGCCGTAGTTTGTTTCTTCTCAATTGCAAGTCCAACCTTCACTCGCAACTCGACCCGTGTTTTGTTTCCCATCCTAGTTGCAGGTCCATCCTTAACTCGCAATTGGGCTTGTAGTTTGTTGTATCCCAGCTGCAGGTTGACTCTTGACTCGCGACTGGGCTCGTAGTTTTGTATTTGTATCAGTTGCAAGTCTGCCATCGACTCGTAACCAGGCTCGTTGCTATCCCGGTTGCAAGCCCACCTTCGACTCGCAACTTGGCACATAATTTGTATCATCCCAGTTTCAAGCCAGACCCTTAACTCGCAACTAGGCTTATGGTTTCCTAGTTTTCAAAGTTGTCAGTCCACTCTCGTTTGTCTAATTGGCTCGTAGTTGTCCTAGTTGCAACACCACACTCAACTAGCAACTGGCATGTGTTTTCGTTTTCTCCCCAGTTGC